AATGCTTGCGATGTTATGAATATATATTGTTACCGATAGGAGACGTATGATTGAAAAAGTAATTTCAGATCATTGTCCCGCGCTGATTACGGGAGAGCAATTTCGATGAAGTGGACACGTGCATTCTTACATGACGTTAGAGCGGCCGCAACATGCGCACGTTTATCGCATGCGGGAAAACGCGCAATCCAAAATTACATTTTATGTTCCCCGCGCAAAAATAATTACCGCGTGCGCGGAGCCGCGTGGACTTCAACGGAAAAGCCGGCTGGATTCGCGTCCCGCATTTACTGGCCGGTATTATGTACCCTTACGAGCGTAATGCGATTTGCATTTGAAATACTTTGACCTTTTCAGACCTGTGTGTATGTGTGTGATGCAGTTCGCGGCTAGCCGGAATTTATATCTCCCCCTACGGGCATCCAGCTCACTGCATATATGAATGATAGAGAAAACTGACCACGCTCTGACAATTCGAAAAATAGCGTGTTCAACTTAAATCATAAAATAAAAATTATTATTAGAGAAAGAGAGAATATAAAAGAACAAGAGTTTTAATTTTATATATTTTATATATAATTAATTGTTAAATTATTTATATATAATATAATAAATATATCTGCATATATTATTTCACAAAAATTAAGACTAGATTTTCCGGAATAAAACGCGGGTTCTTGAGATCCTTAAAGCGAACGTTCTTCAAACAATGCGCGTTTCAGAGACGGAGTTTAAATCACGGCGTTTACGGCTAATTGCCCCTATAAACTATTAGCCACCGATCGGAATCCGTCACCGCGAACGTTTGGAATTCGAGCCAGCCGAGTTTCTTTACGGCGGAAACCACGAGATCTCTCTCTCTCTCTCTCTCTCGCGCGCGCGCTCTTTAATAAACATACTATAAGCAATATACACCGATCGCGGTCGCCGCCGTCGCACATACACACTTTAAACGTTACGTAATGTTTCTTGCGTGTTTCGCGGTGCGCATTACCTCATATCAAAGCAATTCTCGAGCACGGCGCGGCGGCGGTCATTTTCCCACCGGGAGGCGGCCCCTTCCGCGACTCGTGTGCAAGACACCTAAGACCCTACATTCGGATTTAAGACCGATCGCATTCCGATTTGCACGATTCCACGGCAATCGATTCCCGCCGAAATCTTCCGTATTCATTCGATGCGTAAAAGTTGACTCGCCGATGCATCTCTCGCATCTTCGCGTCTTCGATCACGCAAAGTATCTCGATCGTATGAAACGATCGCGATTCTTACGCGAGCGATAGTCGTGTCACGTGTATAACACAACTTGGAGTAACGCGCGTAGTAATCGCGCTTTCGATAATACTTTTCTTTGTCAGTCGGTCACGATTGAAACGATCCGTACGTTCGGATCGCGAAATGTTACGTAACGAGATCGGCCCGAGAGACGGCGCGGAATCGCGAGAGCGGAGAGACGGCCGGGAAAACTGAATCATCGATTACACTTGCGAGGCTGCCAGCGTGGACGATGGCTTCCCCGACCAACCTTGAATAAGTAATCTGCTTCTTAGGGTAATGCGCGTAGGTCGGAAAAATCGTCCAGGTTCGCGGATGCAAGCGCGATATCGGTCGCACGCGGTGAAAGTACATTCATATCACGATTGTATCGATATAGATATGTGTATATCGCACGCAGAGCATATATGTCTCATAATTTCAAACCTTAACACGATATAAATCTGTAATACAGCGTCGTGCACGCGCGTTGATCAATTGAGTTTAAATATGCGAAAATATGAAGAAATTGATAGTGTTTTTGAAATATAAATTATTAAAAATAAATGTCTTTTTTTATTAAGTTTTAAATGGAAATCTTATTCGTCGTTTAATTGTGCGCGAACTTTACACTTTACACAATTCGATATCTCAGGTATTAGAGAGCTCGCTGAAGAATCAAAGCAGATGAATGTATAAAAGATACGGAATCTACCGGTCAAGTACCCATATCGTCGCTCTGTAATGGAAAGAATCGTTCTTCAAGCCGTTCTGTGAATTTCTGTGACGTAACAGATCGATGTAATAGATAATATGTAGAATACGTGTATAACGTTAATTATCTTTATAAAAAACCGAGTCAAGTTAGTAAAAAAATATTAAGGAACTAAGATACTGTGTTGGAGAAAGAATATTGTTCGTGTTAGCCTAAAAGAAATGAAAAACGTCATCGGAAAATTATTGAATACATCTACATATATCGTATTAATAGATTTTTGGATAAAAATAAAATTTCCTTTTAAAATAAAATCAACGCTCGCTCACGCGAGAGCTATAAAATTTCTCGTATAAAATATATTTTTCCGAGCTTTTCACAACTGGTTTGCTGCTTATATAATCGTATCCCCGCTTAGTTCTTTGTATCTCATCGTTTTTAACCATTATGCAACAAGCTAACTGATATGCATGGCATAATTTTTCACTTATATATTCCGTGATATCGGTCGAATACATTCAGAGCGACATGACACGTCGATTTGCGTTTTTCTTGCGAGAATATTCCTAAATGAGCATGGGTCAAGTGTTAATGATAAACTGTTTAGAAAATCGAAGAGCTTAATTATCCGAATTTTAATTATCTTCAAAGTGATATGGATTATTACATTATCTCCAAGTATTTCAGTATCGTTTATCTGTATAATACACACAAGTTACAAATTAATATTCAATTAAAGTAATTTCCTCTTTAAAATTTCTCTCTCTCTCTCTCTCTCTCTCATTCATTAACTCTCGCTCGAGTTTAATCGGCGTAAAAAGCATTTCGTTCTCGTACGTCTCTCAGAAGTTATCGTAAAAGCAATTTCCAATCGAGAGCAAGGACGGACTTGAAATCTATCTCTTAAAATCTACCCCCGTACGCACACACATTGTTTAGAAAAGCCTGGATTTCCGGGACGGATTCTGTATGCAAAGTGCATGCATAATACGGGCGCGCAGCGTGTGCGTGCCCGTAAGTTTACGAGTCGAGTACACTACGCGCGTTTCTGCACGTGTGTGCGTACGCGTGCATGCGATAAGAGCCGCGTCGCGACGCGACCCGGCACGTTATATCATCGTCTACGAACTACTGTGTGCGACGTGATATGTGTCGCCTTCAGTTTCTTGAGCCATTGAACCG